GTATGGAGGGATGGACACTGGGAAGAGGTAACTATGGGGAGGAAGTGGGAGGGGAGCTGTTGCATTGTGGTAAATTGTGGTCAATGACATGAGACGAAGTATATGTGAACTGCTGTATGAAAAGTGAATTTGTTCTGTAAATCTTCACCCAAATCAAAATAAAATTTAAAGAAAAAAAAAAAGAATAATGTTGGCTGTTGGTTTTGCATAGATGCCCTTTGTTATGTTGAGGAATGTCCCTTCTGTTCCTATTTTGCTGAGAGTTTTGATCAAGAATGGGTGTTGGATTTTATCACATTCCTTTTCTGCATCAATTGTTATGATCATGTGGTTCTTCTCCTTTGTTTTATTTATGTGGTGGATGACATTGATTGTTTTTCTAATGTTGAACCATCCTTGCATACTTGATTTGAAGCCCGTTTGGTCATAATGAATGATTTTCTTGATATGTTGTTGGAGTCTATTGGCTAGGATTTTGTTGAAGATTTTTGCATCTATATTCACGAGAGATATTATTAGTCTGTAGATTTCCTTCTGAGTGATGTCTTTGCCTGGTTTTGGTATTAAGGTTATGCTTGCTTCATAAAATGAGTTAGGGAGGATTCTATCCTTTCTGTGTTTTGGAATAGTTTGAGTAGGATCGGTGTCAGTTCTTCTCTGAATGTTTGGTAGAATTCTCCGGTGAAACCATCTGGGCCAGGACTTTTTTTTGTTGGTAATTTTTTGATTACCTGTTCAATTTCTTCTTTTGTTATGGATCTGTTCACCATGTTGCTTTTTAATGTATTTGTTAGATAGTATGCTTATACAGGTAATATAGTAAATACTTCCTTGTTCAAGCAGTTCCTGTGCATGTAGAGTGAAATGTGAAAATTTTCCTTTATTCCTCCGTGTTTCTTTGGCACCCCACCACTCCACCAGCTTTTGCAGGGTTAGCATGTAGTGTTCCAGATCTTTTTCCATACACAGATGCAGGTATAAAATTTTTTTCAACATAAATGCATTCATACTATGTGACTTTTCACTTAACTTGACTTTTATATCAGTACCCACTGGAACTACTGATTGGCTCCATTAAATGATTAAAAACATGCAAAGTAAGCGCTCTTGTACATATGTGTGAATATTTGGTTAGTACCTAGATTAGGAATCAGTGAGAGAAAGATCATGAGCATGTAAACTTTTGGTAACTGTTGGTTGCTAAATTGTCCTCCAAAATAATTTTACTAATTTATATTCCCAACAGCAATATGTGTAGGTGGATTCTCTTCCTGGTTTTTACATTCTTGCCAACTGATGGGTGAGAAATGGTATTGGATAGGATTATTTTTGAGAATATTTTAATCTTACTCAGATTCTGATTTGGGTAGTGTGGTTATCTCTTATTTAAACTTCCTATTTATTGGAGTAGATATTTAACCAAGAAGTTTGTAATGTCAGATTCATCGAGAAGCTCTTTGCTTATATCACTTAATATGTACATTACATTTGATCACACCACTATAGTACAAATAATTTGTGCCTTAACACAGTGAAGTTACTAAGTTGGCAAATGGTGGCCAAATGTCTTTAACTGTTTGGAAACTATGGATGTCACTCAGGATTCTGATTGCTGGTTTCCTTGGCTACCTACTTGTCATTTGTTCATGACACTGCATTTCTTTTTCTTTCTTTGGTTGTTGATTTTTCTTATTTATTACTGGAACTTGAGAAGATATATAGTTTATGCCCTTGTAAGAAAATTAATATGTTGAAATTGGCATTTACATAATTGGAAGATTATTACTTGATCTTTTGAGAAATCAGTTTGCCTTAGTGATAAAATAGTTAAGAACTGTATAAGCATTAATTCTGTATAACCAAAAGATTTATCAATTTTTCTTTTCCTTTTAGACAGTTTAGAGGATGCCAAATGAGAGAATCCTCCACCCAAGTCAAACCCAGGAAGAAGACTGTTTACAAAGTCAGTATGTCAGCAATGATGAAGAAATGCCAAACAAGCAAGAAAATGGTGTGCCAGATACAGGGGTGGAGGAAAACCTTCCCTCTTTTTCCTCTGGTAGTGGACTGTCTGCTGTGGCTGAGAGGTGTGCGTTGGAAGTTCCAAGGAGAGGACCAGCCCTACTTCAGATTGATAGGCATCATATCCAGGCAGTGGAGCTAAGTGCTCAGGCCTTTGAACTGCAGGGCTTGGGGGTGGATGTCTATGACCAGGAAGTGCTGGAGCGGGGTGTGCTTCAGCAGGTGGATAACGCCATCCATGAAGCTAGCCGTGCAGCCCAACTTGCTGATGCAGAGAAAGAGTATCGGTCAGTCCTGGATGACCTCATGTGAGTGTGTACCAGCATCTCTCTTTTAGAGTCTTTTAGAAACTTGGAAAATAGAAAGGTGTGGTATGGCATAAATTTAGGAGATTTATAGAACTTCTTGTTTGGGGTGGTAAAAGTCGAAGGTAGTCAACCTTGTGGTTGAACACCAACACTCAGGAGCAACATTGTACACAGTAGTTAGGTCTCAATCTAGCTCACAAAAGCCTATATCATCCATAATGTCCTAAAGAAAAGTGATGTTCTAAGAGTGCCCTACAACTTACCAACATTTGCACAAAATAGTTCCCAAGAGAAGTGCACCTAAAGTTCTGATGTTTCCTACTTAAGATACCAGGAACACATTCCCTGTTCTCAAATTATTCTCTGTCCTATAGGTTCTTTTTACCTTCCTGTCCCTAAACTGAGGATTTCAGTCCTTTGAAAATTTCTCACATTTAGATTTCTAGGAATAAAGAGAAATAGCTGGAAGAAAAGACCTCCCTCCTTTTCCTTTCTTCTATCCTCCTTCTGCCTCTATAAGTAAAGATAAAGTTCTGTGGTGATAGTTAAAGCTGAAGGTGGATCATTTGTGATTTAGAAGAGAAATAGACATGGGCTTGTTTTGAAAATTGGAAGCTGTAATTCTTTGTCTGTTTTAGGGGTGTAAGTTTCCCCCACTATCTGAAACTTTCTGTAAGCCAGAATAGTGTAAAGCAATGAAGCAGTTACCATTAATTTATATGGGAAAATTTTTGAGCATTCCCAGACCCCAGAAATAATCAACCCATTCATATTAAATAACACATAAAATTAAAATAACACTATTTTATTGTGTTTACAGACGTAGTTCATAGTTATAGTGGCTTGATGCTGAGATATTGAGTGTAGTTCCTGGGGAAAGAGTATGGTGACACCACTTCTCATTGTTGCTCAGGGTGCTTGTTATCTCTTTAATGGCTCACTGTAAAACAAATGCTGAATGGTAGTTTTCCTTTTCACCTTTCTTTATAAAAGTGAAAATACTCTTTAGATTTCTTTTAGTTGGTGAAAACAGGTACTAATGTAGCTCTTTCATAAAAGGAAGGTGGTGTAAAGGGAACTTCTGAAAAGCAGGAGATACTTGTAATTTATTATAAATTAATTTTTTTCACCTCAAAATGTAATGCTACAGTCAATAAATCTTCCAGTTGTGTGTAAGAAAAATACTGTCTCAAGTAGCTAATTTATATAATTAAGTGTTTAAAAATTTAAAAGACTTTTCCAGAATTTGGGAGTCTTCCTTAATGGGCTTTTAAAAAATCCATACATGCATTTCTTTATATAAATTATATAATAATTTATTATACATTGTTCTAGCATAGTGTCTTGAATAAATTGGGCTTATAAAAAAATGTTGACTGAATGAATCAGCTTATAGATGAGCTGATGTAAATCAGCCAGATGAATGAATAACACTAGTAGTCAATCTTAAACCTCAGACGACCCTTCAAGTTATATTTATGGCCAAGACGAATATGCATTCTGGCTGAGTTTCTTTTATTTTTTAATTAATAAGAAGGAAGTGTTTATGTTTTTAGCATTTCATGTTATCCGTATTTCTCTTTATATTATACTGTGATATTGTGATCACAATTTATCTTATTTTTCAGGTCATGTACGACATCCCTCAGGCAAATCAATAAGATTATTGAACAACTTAGCCCTCAAGCTACCACCAACAGAGATGTCAACAGGAAACTAGATTCTGTAAAACGACAGAAGTACAATAAGGTGATTCAAAATAACATATTAAATTTTACGTTTTTGAAAAATCATCATTTAGACTCATTTAATAATTTAGTTCAGTATTTTGAAAGTACTTATATGAAGCAATATGTATAATTATAATAAATATTGAGTTGCTTTTGTATGTTTCATGTTTTAGCTTTTTGACATACTCTGTTACACAGCATTAAACACACATACACACACACATACACACATACCCCTATTTGAAAATGAGTTTCTGTTTTGACTTTGTATACCTCCTCACTTGCACTTTCACAGTCTTCTTGCTTCACCCAGTTTCCCTCATCCAGCTTAGACTCCTGTTGGACATGCTAGCCCCTGACTCAGTGTCCTTATTTTGTATGAACTTGCATTCTCTTTATTATTATTTTTATTATTTATTGTGATTTAGGTGAAAGTTTACAGAGCAAATTCACTTTCCACACAGCAGTTCACATACACTTTGTCTTATGATATTGACTACAATTTCTCACAATGCAACAGCTCCTCTCCCATTTCCTCCCCATAGTTACCTCTTCTCTTTGTCCTTCCCTCCATGCACTGTGGTCCCCTGAGCTGTCTCCCTATGCATACACAGCCCTTCTATTCTCCCATGATTTTTCTCTCCAAGGAGTGTATCTACCTAGTGTAAATGTTCACCTCATATGCCTGCCTTTTGTTTGGCTGGAAGCTACAGGTGTGGGTTCAATTCCAGACCTGAAGGGCAGCTGGGGTCATAGTCTCAGTAGTGAACTTGCTTTCTCTTATGCTCCTGCTCATGCTGATTATCTCCACTCTGCTTTCTATTCGTATAGCCTTTGTCGCTTCCATATTTATGGTCACTGATTGTGAGGGCTGAGCCCTTAGGGATCATGACATTAATTAAGTCTTACAGCCATCACATAGCCTCAGTGGGGCTGTACTTAGGGTTGTAGAACTTAAGGGTAGGGAATATGTGTTACTTACGCTATTGTTTTTATGGGATTTGAAAGGTTTTTTTAGGATGTATATATAAGATCACTATAAGTCAGATCCAACTTGACAGCAGTGAGTTTGGTTTTGGTTTTTTGTATATATAGTTTCATGAAGTTTGAAGTATGTTGCAGGATTTATACACTTTATGAAAATATTTTCCAGTAGATAGGAATGACTAGTTATGATAATTTCAGTTCTGCCATCCAAAATGACTAACATATATCCTTGTGCTTGCACTTGATTCATTGCAACAAGTGGAGTCCTTAAATCTTTTATTTATGTTCTAGTAGACTTGGTCCATGTTACCTTACTTTTGCTTTCCACATACCAGTCCATTATCTTCACTACCCCATCTTCTTCTCACTCAACTCCATATAGCAGCCCAAAGGTTAGAGCTGATTTTGTCCCCTCTAGGATCAGATAGAGGACATCTGACCTCTTGTGGGAGTATGTGAATTATGTTCAGAGACCATCTCTGACCTTCTCAGACTTTGGTGGGCTGGAATTTCAAGGGGGTGGAAAAGGCTAGATTTTAGACCACTTAGGTACTAGTCTAACATAAGTATGTGTTTATATCTTTCTTTAGCAACTGTTTGATGTTTAGGAATAGAATAAAAGGAATGGCTATTTTAAATGGGATGTTGTTGAAAGAGAGCAAGAAAGATTGTAAGAGATTGCCAGTTATTGCAGTGTAATGTTTTTATATAGGATCTCCTCTCTCCCCATACTCCTATTTGGAGTTTAGACATTTTGACCTTAGGAAGAAGACCCAAGTGCCACAGGCTCAGTTCATGGGAGAGGCTCTAAGAGAGGCCATTTAACCCATGTTCTGATGCTGTAGAGGGAGAGGGATGAGCAGGGCAAATGGGTCAAATACATTTTTCTTTTCACGTTTTGTGATGGAGTAGAATATTATAAAGGGAAATCATAAGTATGATAGGTTATGAAAAGGGACTGCGTTTTTAAGACTATGTGAACATTTGTACTTGTTTTATATGCCTACAGCCTACTGGCCTCATAGCTCATTGACTGCTAAAGTCATAGATAGATACAGAGGCATTTTGTAGTTTACCCCGTATGCTAACAAGAAAACTAAGTAGAACAATTTCATCCCCCAAGTGAGTGAAGAATCAGAATATTTGTAATAAAGTGTTTGGGTGTATGTAAAGCTCTGAGTTGCTTTGGTCAGGAGAATGTGTGAGGACAGTGGGCCTGTCTGATAGGAATGCCTTGAGGCTTATTTGCTAGGAAAGAGGTAATTACTCTAATAAGGCTCTGTATATTAAAAAAAACAAAAAAAACCTCACTGCCATCGCATTAGATCCGACTCAAAGCGATCCCTCCTTGGGTTTCCGAGGCAGTATCACTGTGGAAGTAGATTGCCCAGTCTTCCTTCCAAGGAGTGGCTAGTGGGTTTGAACTGCCATCCTTCTGGTTAGCAGTCAGATGCCTTAGGCACTATGCTACCAGAGCACCTAGGCTCTTTATTTTGTAATAATATATGAAATTTCTGTTTTATTTTTATTTTACTCTTTCGTTTTTTAGTAATAATGAGTTCTTGCTGAAAGTTTACACAGCAAGTTAGATTTCCATTTGACAATTTCCATACAAACTTATCAGTGACATTAATTACATGTATCACAGTGTGTCAACATTCTCTTTCATTGTGTTAGGTTTGTTCCCTTTGGAGTACTCTAGAATGGGTAGAGTATCTGTTCTCTTATCTTCTCATATTTGTTTTTGAGTAGTTGTTGACCTTTTGATCTCATCTTGTTGATTTTTAAGTAGAGCACCAATCTTATGGGTACTATAACTATATTTTGTGTACCATTCTGCTATTTTGCTAAAAGGTAATCTCAGAGGATAGACTCAATTCTAAGTTTAAAGAGTGTCTCAGGGTAATAATGTCAGGGAGTGCTTTGTTCTCTATTGTTACAGTTATCTGTTTTTTTTTTATTTTTAAGTAAGAATTTGAGTTCTCCATATTTTTTTTCCCAGTCAATCCTGGACCAACTACTGTGACCCCAGTCAGAGCAGTCAGTAGTGGTAGCTAGTAGTACCTAATTCTTCTGGTCTTAGGGTAAATGAGGTGTGGCTTGTGTACACTTGTTTCTTCTCTTAGCTGTTGGTTACGTTCGTACTGTTTAGCTCATGGTGAGTAGAGACGCACAGTTGTGTCTTAAATAGTTGCTAGCAAGTTTTTAAGGCCCTAAATGCTATTTACTTCACTAAGATGCAAATCATGATTTTTCTGAACTATATTATGCCAGTTGACTGAGTTGTCCCATAAGACTATGAACCAAAGCCTTCAAACTGAAAGACCAAAGTTGGGAGGTATTTGGTTATCACTAAGGAGTATATGTATTTGTGTCTCCAATGAATATATGTGCCTGCACCCACATATTTGTATTTACACATACCTATAAATACTTCTTCAACATAAAGGAAACAAAAATACTCCAACTGGACCAATAAACAACATCATGATTAATGAAGAAAAGATTGAAGTTGTTAGGGATTTCATTTTACTTGGATCCACAATCAACACCTGTAGAAACAGCAGTCAAGAAATTGAATGATGTATTTCATTGGGCAGATCTGCTGCAGTTGACCTCTTTAAAAAGCAAAGGTGTCACTTTGAAGACTAAGGCACACCTGACCCAAGCCATTGTATTTTCATTAATATCATATGCATGCAAAAGCTGGACAATGAATAAGGAAGACTGCAAAAAAATTGATGCATTTGAATTGTGGTATTGGCGAAGAATATTTGTGTACCATGGACCAGAAGAATGAATAAATCTGTCTTGGAGGAAGTACAGCTGGATGCTCCTTATGCGAGGATGGTGAGACTTCACCTCTTGTAGTTTGGACGTTCTCAGGAGGAACCAGTCCCTGGAGAAGGACATTGTCTTAGGCTGTGTTCTCTAGAGAAGCAAAACCAGTGAAACTTTATATATGTGTATATGTGGAGAAAAAGAGAGAGAGAGAAATATTTATCTCAAGGAAATAGTACATGTAGTTGTAGAGGCTGGCAAGTCCCAAGTCTGTGGGTCACACAGCAAGCTGTAGGTGTCTCCTGAGTCATGCAGCTGTAGGAGCTGATGAAGCCAAGATTGGCAGGTAAGATGGCAGGCTGTGGACTCATAGGCTGCAATGGCATTAGTCCCAAGATTGGCAGCAGTATGGCAGACCACTGGTTCAGGTCCAGGAACCAGAGCAGATAATGAGCCCAATACAGGATCCAGATCCAGCAGAAGGCCAGAGCTTTTCCATATATATTCGAAGCAGGCCACACCCCAAAGGAAACTCCTTTTCAACTGATTGGCTGCTCATAGCAGATCTCATCATAGAAGTATTTCTATCAGATCTCACGGGGGATGACTACATCATGAGTGCTAAACCACTTAGAATCATGTCCCAGCCAATTTAACACACAACCTTAACTTGCACAGTCATCATGCTTGGTAAAATAGATGGTCAGTGAAAAAGAAGAAGACTTTCAAGGAGATATATTGACAGTGGCTGCAGCCATGGTGTAGCAGTTAAGGTTGTGTGTCATCCTTTGCTGGGTGGTGGTTTTGAGTGGCTGGGCAGCTGGATGTAGTTATTCCCTATGGTGAGATTATCATCACCTCCATGGTAGAATCTGCTTTGAGCAGCTAAGTAGTTGAAGGGGAGTTACCTTCAGGGTATGGCCTGCTTCCAGTATAACCAGTGGCCTGCCGTGTTGCCTGCTGATCTTGGGATTATGCCATTTTACCGTCTGACCTTGGGTTTGTCAGCATCAGCAGCCAGCAGCTGAGTGAGTTGAGAGACCCTTCCAGCTCCAGTGGGCCTAGAACAAGAGGCAGAGCTGAAGCCCAAGGTCATGGGACCTTCACCCAGCCCCTAGAGCTGGCACTCTGAATGTGGACTTCTAGCCTCCTAAACTGTAAAAGAATAAATTCCTGTTTGTTAAAGCCATCTGCTAGTGGTGGTATAGCAGCACTAGAGAACTGAGACAAATGGGCTCTAGCATACCAACG